TGTTTTGAGAACTATTGAACGCGGCTGCGTATGCGTGCAGTCCAGTAGAAAATCCTCAGGGTGACCTTATGACTTACGTTAACTATAGTAATAAGTGCCATTACTATTAACTAATCTAGATAGTAATATATATATTCTGATGAGGTTGCACGGTAGCAGCAGATTAGTGTCATGCATGGCCTATCTATGGTTTGCAAAGTTAGATAATTAATATGGTGCCTTTGATTAGACAAGTTAGGATACATATAATCATGTTTTCTGAATATTAGGTCTCATCATTTGAGGTTAATCCTTGAACGGAAGTCTACTATATTTAATTTCTTTTATATTGGGTGGGGATTTTATTTATGTGTGTAAGGATATTGTTTTTATTCAGTGCTATAAAGCCGTGCACTTGTGTTGCCTCTGTAATGCACATGTTCATACATTTCATAACTTACTTTGTCGTATTCTTTCGTTGTAGGAACCTCTGTGCAGTACCACCTGCGCATCGCTCCCTACGCTGGCACTGTCATCCTCGTCGTCCTGCTCATCTCCTGCACGGCCACGGTACATCCTACGTCCGCGGTCATCCAATCGTCGATTAAGGTGAGTTCAACTCTGACCCTTTCTCGTTGGACTTAGTTTTTGTGTGAGATCGTACGTTTCTGCTTGCTACTCAATCCATGGTCCTACTATACACAACCGATGTGTACATTGCTGCCATTCAACAGATGCATGCTCCACGTGCGAACTTGAAAACAACGCATGCCAAACTACTGCTCGACATCTGTCAAAATGAGAAGAACCAATACAACTGGTGTAAATAGGGTCCAAGTAAGGAAGGGTGGAGGAATGTGTACCAGGGTTGTAGGAATGCGGGGCTGCCATATGACGAGAAGCAGATCCGCAACAAATTCACTGACATGAAAAAGAAATTCCTCAACTGGCAAACCCAACAGAACAAAACAGGCCTCGGGCGGGACCCTACCATAGGGGCAGTTGTGGCCGAGCACTTGGCACCCAACCACACCAAAGGAGGTAGCCACGAAGCGGTAATGCCTCCTCCCTTTCCTTTGTCCTTTTGCACTAATCCCAACATGTGGTCTTATTTGTACTTTTGCACTAATCCCAACATATGGTTACCATTATGCGAGAACCGAGTGCGAGTCATGCAGAAAGTTTGAGACCCCCGCCCCACTTCGATGAACTGTGGGCCCTTTTCGGGGATCATCACCTAGAGAGGGGGACACTCAATGCTACGGGTGGTGTTGAAGATGTAACACGCACTCCCCCAGGACGCCCTTCGTACCGTTTGGCCATTCCAGTGCCGGAGCCTCCTCCAAAAGGGCCACGATGAACAATGAAGTCAACAGCCCAAAGAAAGCAAAGAGGTCGAAGGAAGTTGGAGAGTACTTGGCCGACATATCTGACAACATCAGGGCTAGGAGTGCAAAGCCCACTAAGGCAGAGGAGATGGCTGAGGTCATGCAAATGCTACGTGATGGCGGTGTCTCCCAAAAGTCAGAGCTGTTCCTTATGGCATGTGACCTTTTCTAGAAGAGGGGGTGCCGCGAACAGTACAAGAACATCGATGATAGAGAAGATCGTCTCACTTACATCACCTGGACCTGGAAGAATGGCAGAAATGCCGCCAGCAAATAGCGTCCCCGATAAGCAGTCGTGTGTTTGAGTGAATCCTACCTAGTTTCCTTTCATACATCATTTGTTTTAGTTGTCACTATGTAACGAACCTTCTGTTGGGCACATTTTTGTTTTCATTTGACCTCGTGTATGTCGGACATGGTTTGAGTACCTGTGCTGAATGTTTGATGTGGTTTCAATCTAATCTATCTGTGCATTAGTACGGCTTTATAATGTACAACCGTTGTAACTAACTTGTTCCATTTGCTGGTTTGCAGGTTGTTGCAGCATCGTGAGAACTGGTCAGCGGTGCTGTAAGGTTAGTACTTCTATTCGTAAACTGGAAACTTCAGAATGATAACTATTTATTTACAGGACTGTGCAATTAATATGATGTTGTTTTGTATCAGGGGACCGATTGCAAAGAGATTGAAGAGCTATGTCGCAAGAAAGGATGCTGCTTAGTGAACATTCAAGTGATTCCAATAGCTAGTTATTGGGAGGATGTGAGATATGTCATGCGGTTGTTGGCGGCTATGCAGCCATCGAGAGCGGTGATGTCCCAAAGACCACCTCCTCCGGCTTCGGTTGGCAAGAGTTGAACGACAATGTCGGTGGACGCATTCAGTTCTTTCTCACCCAAAAGGAGCAATCTAAATTTTCATATGGAACCTCATCGCTTTTACGAATCGCACGAAATGCTAATTAGTAACCATGGCTCATGAGACTATGGGGACTTTGATACACAGGAGGCTTTAGGGATGTTTCTTTGGGCACTAGCAAAACAAGTCAGACAGGGGGACATGGGAGAACGGTTTAAAAGGGGTCTTGGGACAGTTAGCGAGAGGTTTGGTCAAGTGTTGGAATGTGTCGCTAACTTTGCAGACATGATTTGTACACCTAGGCATGTAGACATGTCAAAAGCGCATGATAGGCCGCACAAGTACACACCTTTCTTTGATGGCGCAATAGGCGCTATCGATGGGACACACATCAGGATCAGTGTTGATAGGGTGTTCCATGATGATTACATAAATAGGCACGGTTGGCCTAGCCAAAATGTGGTCGCAGTTTGTGACTTTGATGGGTGGGTTACATTTCTTCGTGTTGGCATGGCGGGGGCAGTGCATGATATGAGGGTCCTTAGGGAAGCTTGGACGAAACCCAGGTTTCCGCACCCACCGCCAGGTTAGTTGCATTTGTTGTTATAAAATTGAACTCAATGTTATCATGGTAATGTAGATGTTTAATGTGCTGATAAGTTGAAGGGGTTGTTATGTGCAGGTAGGTACTATCTGGTGGACTCGGGGGTATGCAGTGAACATGGTTATTTGGGGCCACACAAAAGGCACATGTACCATTTGAAAGAGTTTGCCGATAGGCCGGCTCAAGGTCCTAACGAGGTGTTCAATTTCCACCATGCTAGTTTGCGTAATGTGGTGGAAAGATTATTTGGGGTGGTCAAAGCTAGGTGGCACATGTTGAAAGGAGTGCCACACTATCCTAGGGAGAAGCGGGATAACATTATTAAGGCCGGTTTTGCCTCGCATAACTACTTGAAAATAAATGAAGTAACTCACCCACTCCATCCACTAAGCCCACTTTGTTGATGCAAAGGGCTTGTCAGGTCATGCAAATGATTCTATGGACAATATGAGGATGTGGATTACCCATGGACCGTCACATTTGGGGTACAAGTAAGCCAATGGTGCCAAAGCAAGTTGATGATTACACGTGCAAATGGACAGAATTTGACAATTGTCTCTTTTCGGTGATGGCTGGAGGTGGACGTTGGGGTGGAAGGGGACCGATGGTCGCATGACGAGTGACGCGGCGAGCGAGCAGGCAAAGGTATGCGTAAGTGACTTTTGTGTTTGTACCATGTTGTTGCTGGTGATTATGTGCCTGAGGAGGGTACAAATTTTGTGTAGCTGCACTAAGGTCATTGGAACAGCTACATGTGTTGTATAATGCTCCAATAATCCATGTATACTAGAGTACTGTGTTGCACAAATGGACTATGTATTGAGACCTGGGTGTCTCTCTTGCTGGTGAACAGTAGTGAGCCTGGTAGTTGTTAATGGACAGCTTTGTATCTGTATAAAATGTATGCCTTATAAATAGCGGGTTTAATTTACTATTCATTGGCGCCAAATGTGTATTGAGACCTGGGCTGTTGGCACCAGGTTTTGAATGAGCCTGTTGAATTCAAATTTCTTCCACCAATCAGCCCCGCCGGCCTGTTCGCTTGAACTTATCAGCCGGCTTATCAGTTAGAATCTACAGTATTTTTCTCTCACAACAAATCAGCCAAGGCCGGCTTATCAGCCGGCTTTAATACCAGCCGAACAGGCTCTAACTATAACATATCCTCTCTCTCTGCTTTGAAATAGCTCTGAAAGCGTCTCTCTATTTGCATCCATTTAGAAAAGCTAAAAGTATGATTCAAGGTGATGCGAAAAATATATACTATGCAAAAGTAGTTGTTACTTGGACGTTGTTACTTGGAACATAGCTTCAGGTTCCACCTATTTGGTTGCCATTCTATTTTTTTAAGCTACAGAAGCACTTCCGAGAAGCTAACCAATCGTAACCTCAGCCTGAATACCTTCTTCACGAGTGCAAGAGGATAATAAAAAACTATACGAATGGAGGCAGACAAAAATTCAAGTACGGTGCATCAGAAAGGTTTAGACACAATTTTGAAACCAGTTGCTAGTAAAAAAAAAATCCTTACAGTTACAGTGAAAAACAGAGAGAAGGAAACATACTACCCTCAAACAAGAATATATATTTGCAGTGGAAAAAAAAAAAAAAGGATACGTACACGTTAGCTTGCTGAAGAGCAGCGTTTAGAGACCGGAGGACTACGAAATGGGGAAGAATTTGCCTGGTCATCGTCAGTGGAGAGATTAGATTAAAAGGAGGCCGCGGGCTTGGAAAAGGTGATGAGTGGAGGGGGGTTTTTGATAAAGGTGATTCACCGGGGGAGGAGGGGTGGCGATAAGGTGAGTGGAGCGATCCAAAAGGTGAGCTCTTGTGTTGCTTTTGTCCGGATGGAGGAATACCGCGAGATGCTCGCAGCCGCGAGATGGAGGAAGAGCGTTCTGGCAAATGCGCCGCGGTCTGCTGTCTCGTCGGAAGAATTTGAGCACAGCTAGCGTTCGTCTGCTGCCGCGGACCACATCGTTTTCCAGCAGGACCCACATGATTGCTACTCGAAATCGGAGGTGTCTCCACTACAACGCCATCCTTCCCGTTATAAAAGCCGCATCCTGCACACAGCACACACATCCACAGATCCACCCACCAGGCCACCACACCCCTCATCAGTCCCAGGCTCCAAGCCGCTCCATCCCGAGCGAGAGGCGGCACGAATGGCCAACCAGGGAGAACTGCTGCCTAATCACCCGGTGCACGACAACGTCCAAGAACAAGCAGGCCGCCGCGACCACCAGCAGCACCACCTCGTCGACGCCGCACGCGCGCTGATGCTGCTAGGAGCAGCCGCCGCCGTCTCAACCTCAACCGTATGCAGCTGCAACCCCGACGCTGACGCCGCGTGGATCTTCATCGGTTTCCTCACCTGGCTGCTGGGCGTGTGGCTCCTTTCGTTGGGGCCATTACTGGCAGGTCGGTTCCCAGAAGCTGATCGTTTGGCCGGCGCTGCTATCGCCGGCGCCGGCGCCGGCGCCGTCCTCAGGCGCTTCTTCATCCCATGGAACTAGCTCCATCCTGCGCGCATGGGCAATGAGCAGCAGCTGGTGTACGTTTTGGTGTGCTTTATTATGGTGGTCAATAAGGATCTACGTATATACGCCGGAGCTACATATTTATCTTTCTTTGTTCCCCATAGTACCCTGTCTCTCCCAGATCGCTCTCTTCCAAAGCATGTACTATTATGCCTGCTGTGTTATGTAATAATACTCTATATACAAGTGTTGATAGTATTTGGCTATGTTGCAGCTTCCTTGTATTGTCCAATATAGATTTTTCTTCTTTTTAATAATTCCCCGTTTTTATTTACATGTCGTAGCATGTTTGTTCTAAGTCAAACATTTATGTCTTTGACCATTGATTTTTTTTAAAAATTATATAGATACATGACATAAGATTTATGTTTTTAGATTCACAATGGAAAATACTTTCACACTGTACAATTCATAGGTTATAAAACTATAAGGATTTTTCGGAATAGATGGTCAAATATAGTAATATTTGACTTCGAAAAAACCTAAAGTGACATAAAAAGAACGGAGGTAGTACAGTTAGCGGCTCTCATGTCTGATTTGTTTTTTTAAATAGTACTCCATCTGTTTTAAATTATAAGTTATTTTAACTATTTTAGAGAGTCAAATCATCTCAAGTTTGTCCAAAATTATATAGAGAATTACAAAGATTTATGACATCAAATAAGTATTACAGTAAAAATATAATTAATAAAGAATCTAATGGTCCTTATTTGGTATCATAAATATTATTATTTTATTATATAAATTTGGTTAAACTGAAGATGCTTTAGCTCTCTTAGAAAGTTGGATTCACTTATAATTTGGGACGATGTGGGAGTATTATTTGGTTACACTTGTAGAGTGCTCTGGTCGTGTTAATGTTAAACGGGCTCTACCACTACATAGTACATGCTGGTCCCAATAATTTACTGACATATACGCCTCAGTTTCGCCGGCCCAATCAATCCAGACTAGGTGAGACCCGGTCAGGCGTTAGCAGGAGAGCAGGCCTGTGTAAATTAAGGCCCATCCTAATTTGCTAGCCAGACCCATGAATGTCACAACCAATGGGCAGTGGCGAACCAGGGTGAGGTGCAGGTGCAGGCCAACGTGCCAGCCTGCCAGGCCACTGGACCATCTCCAATTCTCCATCTCCTCGACGCCGCGCGCGCGGTCATGCTGCTAGGAGCAGTCGCTGCTGTCTCGAGACCGTGGGCAACCCTGACGCTGATGACACCGCGCGGGTCTTGCTCGGCTTCGTACCTGGCTGCTCGACGTCTGCCTCCTTTCTTCGTTGGTGCCAGTGGCAGGCCGGTTCCGCAAGCTGATGCGTGGGCCGGCGCTGCATCGCCAACGCCAGAGCTTACCAGCCGGGGGACGGGAACGTGCCCCACGTTCCCGTTCCGGGAACTTCGTTCCGATTCGCGGAACGGGGACATGGCGGGACGCCGTCCCGACGGAAGATGGAACGCGACTCGCAACCACGAGCAATCAAAGGAACGTCGAGTCCCAAACGAGGCTGGAACATGACCATCAGCCACGGCGAGTCGGGGACATCAGGTACGAAGCAGGCGCGGGGAAGAAAACACACCTCAGTCAGGTTGCGTCGCTCACGGTCTCGGGCTGCTCGGAGCCCCAGACACCGGCTGCCCGGAGCCCCGGACGCCGAGCCGCGCTATCCCGCCCGCTCCGCAGCGCCGCAGGAAGCGCCCGAGGCCGCCCGCCGCCGTACGCCGCCGCATCGATTCGATGTCGTCCCGCCAGAGTGGGTGGCCCGTGGCCGGCCGCCGGCGGCTGTGCGTGTGCGCTGCGCCGTGCTCGTGTGTGGGCGGCCGGTGGCGGCGGCCGGCAAAAAAAAAGACCTGGCGATTGGCTCGTTGGCCTGGACCTGGAATGGATTGGAGTTGGACGGCTCAATAAAACAAAAAAACGACAGCAAAAACCATGCCACGCAAAGAATTGAACTGTGCACTTTTCAGTAAGCACGTAACGCCGCATGGACCGACCACCACGTCCCCGACACATTCCTGCGAAGTTGGTACGAGTTCTACGTGGTCTTTGGTGTGCTTCTATCTGTTGTCCAGGGAAAATTTCTAGGATCCGGAAGCACCAAATCATGGAAATTCCTTGGATCCAGAAGCGCCAAATCATGGATAAAAGCCATGTCAAATGATCAATAATTTCAGTTGTAACAAGCGAACACAAAACATAGAGTTCATTCACTTACTAGCTAGATTAGAATGCGAAGATAATCTCCTACGACTAAAAAGAACAAAGCGCGGACACTTTTTGGTGCGACATTTTAAAGTGGATCCATCGTCTCGCTTTGCTGCGATCCCGCACCCCTCGCTATTACGCCCTCCATTGCGTCAAAATAAGGAAAGAAACCTCGCCCTCCCTCCTCCTCCGCAACCGACATCGCTTCCATCAATGACGCACCCGACCAAGCTCCTTCCTTCCTTCCCCGTGGTAGATCGTGGCTCCTCCTCCCCCACGCTGCACGATCTCCGCGTGAAATCGCCGCCGGCTTCGCTTTCGCTCTCTGCGCGTGGTGGACACGGCGCCAATCACTCCCCTCCCCCTCGCATGAGATCCCGCATCAGCCTCCTCTCCCACGCCTGCCCTCGCGCCTTTGCTCCATCCCCGCGCTTCGCCGACGCCTCTCTCTCCCCACCCTCGCGTCGCGCGCCATCATCCTCCGCGCTTTGCCGACTGCACTGCATGCGCCATGGACCTCGCCGTTCGCGCCTGCGCCCGTCGACCTCACCATCGTCCTCACTCCGTTTCACCCACGCGGCGCCTGTTCTCCCTCCCTGTCGCGAAGCCACGCCGACGCCGCAAGGCCGTGCCGAGAAGGAGAAGGCCCGCCGAGTAGGCGTGCTGCCCTCTCCCGCTGCAACGTCGTGCCGCCGCCTCGCCCATCCTAGATCCGCGGCTTTTACTCATCCAAGCACACGACTGGGCGACCACGCTGCTTCGCTTGTCCACAGATTCGCCGGTGATGAGCAACCAACAGGTATGCCCACCGAGCACCCGAACCCTAACATAAGAATTATGCCTACCAACTTAGATGCTTTTGCGTTAATAACAGGAGTACATGTGTAAACCATGTTCTTTACCTTTACTGGTCCGCCTCTCCAAAGAGAATGAAACTTTGTATAATATATTTTTTTGAGCGACTTTTTTAAATGAATGTATATGATTTTTTTTGTTCTTTCACATGTCTACCATGTTCTTTATTGGGTCAATCCCCATTGCCGTTTTCAAATGATCGATTCGTATGAGAATTATTTTTTTTCAAATCATTTTAGTGTTTGTATATAAGTAAAATCTCAGTGAGCTTTTGCCAGGCGCTTAATACCTGAAGACCTATAATTCTTATGAAGCAGGGAAACATGACCCCGGCTCTTTTTACCTTTAACATTATGAAGATCTGAGGTACGAGGGAACCTTCAATGTACCTCATGTCTATTCTGTGACTGTCCTCTGCTTCAACACGAAATTCGTGCAAGTCTTGGAGCTTTGTTAGACCTCCAATGCTACGAATTAATTGGACCAATTTTATCTGCATTTGCATGTAACTGTCGCTATTAATAAATGTGTTTATGCGTCTTGGTTACTCTTTGAATCTACAGCTTCATAAGCCAAGAACCTGTAGATTGCACAAGGTAGTATCATTAGATTTGGGAAGTCCACATAGAGGGCAATCTCGGTGAACTTTTCGTTGATTATTAGTAGACCAATCATCCTCTCGCTTACTTAAATCATCCCTTTCATTCGAAACTAATCCAGTTCAATTAATATGTGAATTCGTAAACTTCATATTTATCCGCTTTATGAAATATGTCGCTTATTCAGCTTGCTCCACAATCTCTCCAGCTTACCTAATATGAAATGTCACCGCTATCGTTACCCAGATTTCTCGACTTTTGAAACTTGGGTTTCACAAAGATGATGTTTTCACTAACTCTCTTGTACCATCACAAATAGTCCATGTATATTATGAACGCGATAGATCTAACTGCAAAGGCTTGCCATTTTGTTTTAATTGTTAACCACAGTTTAATACACTTCGATAGGCACATCAAGGTCAGCATCACGTGCCATCAAGGTGTTTGTTGCAGTCTTACAGATATTGGCACTCTATTTACAGGTAAATTCTGTGATCGGTGAATAATTGACATGATTCTTTTTTACTTTTGAGTTTTTGATATGTGCCTAATGATTTACTGGTTTTGATCTTGTTTGTATAAAAAATACATGGAAGTCCAATGATAATAAACAGCGAGACTTTGTGTAGAGTTATATTTGTGGTTTTGGTCGTGATTATTTTTCCCTATGGGTTTGTGCTGGTTACACTGTATGTTCCTTCAGGGTTTGTGTAGTGCAGGGTCTAATGGAAGTTTAGATTGGTTACTTCCTAGTTCTAGAAAAATAAAAGTTAGAAAATCTATTGGTTTATTCACTGATGCGAATTTAGATTGTTGTAGCTGGATATGAGAGGAGTTCCTGGAGATTTTTAATTCCTATGATCGTATAGATTGGATACTTCCCAGCATTTTGGAAAGTAGAAGTGAAAATCTATTGGTTTCACTGATGCGAATTTAGATTGCTGTAGTTGGATATGAGAGGAATTCCTGGAGACTTAATTCCTATGGTCGTAAAAGACGATCTTAAATGCATCATCTAGAGAACGTGGTACAATAGAGAACATAGTGAACACGATTATTATAGTCTGAAGTTCGTTGCTTTGATTATTATTACTTGTCGGATACCAGAGAATGGGGTACCCCAAGCAAAGATCGAAAAACTGCTTAGACCCTAAAAACAGAACCAACGGAATAAACAAACGAGGTCTCGGCCGAAATCTCCGATTCGCCCGAGACCCCGTCGCCGAGCCCCAGCGGAAGCAAACGGTTCTCCGACTCGCCCGAGACCGCCTCGCCGAGGCCCCTGCGTCGAGGCCCCCTCGTCGAGGCCCCCTCGCCCAGGGCCTC